TTCTAAGGCATGCTTATGTGAAAGGGGATGAGGAGGGAACTGAAGGTAATTATCTGGGTTCCGCTAAATGAGGAGGAAGAGAAAAGATGTACTGAGAGACTCCTTATGCCTTGTATCCTTCTCATCATCATTTTAGACTTTACCAAACATGGTAAAGTTTGGTAAAGGCACCATATTTTAGCCCAAACTTCCCTTCATCTGATCTTTTATCTCCTCATTTGCACATATAAACAATGGCTGTCACTGGTCACTATGTCCACTTATTCTGCCTCCTGGTTATGTTCATGACAAGATGGAATCATCATTCCTTAGCATAAAGACTCAAACTTAAAACACTTTCAAATCTACTTTCTGTATTTAGGCCTTTTGGGGATATATTATTAATTTATAAAATGTTTTTCAATGAGATAGACAGGGTAATGTGTATAGAGAGTTAAAATAAACAACGTGAAGCAAGGAAGATATGATGCCTGATAATATATTGCTATGGGCTTTGTGCCTAACATTCTTACTATTGGATTCATTCTTTTGCACACATAATGACTTATGTACACATAACAAGAACACTTGCTAGGTTAAGGGAAAGATGGTGTTTTATCATTTTATCATTTTATGTTCCCTCAACACCATTCTCAGCACTCAATGATTATTAGGTGCTCAGTTAATATTTTAAGCTTTGTCTTTCTACCTGGGAGAATTAATAATTCAGTTAACACATTATCGCTAATTAGAGTTCTTTGAGCTGTGAGAAAAGGAAACTCAGGTCAATGAGTCAACAGAGAAAAGGTGGAAGAAAAACACTTTAATGATATCGAACTGGCTGTTATATTCAGGTGGGAGAGATGTGACTGCTGAAAGGGAAACAAACAAACAAACAACAACAACAAAAACCAAGCTGAAAGTAGAAGTGTAGAGTGCAGGAGGCAAAGGCAACTGGAACAACTGGATTCTGTTCCAGTCCCCCAAGAGGGGATCTGCTAGTGTGATGCCAGCCACAAGGACACGTGTCAGGAATGGGGAAAAGCTGCACATGGCAAGGGAAAACAATGTAGACAATGACTAAGGAGCTTCATTGTACTTCTTGTGCCTCAACATTGTCTTTGGAAAAAGAACATGGTTTCTCCAGAGCTGGCTTGGCACAGTGGTGGCTCTGTATAGCAATTTATTTTTCAGTGGATTTCAAATTCTCCTTTCTTTCCTTTGTCTTTAACTCTTTAACTCTTTGGCTTTCCATATAATCTAGCTCTTTGATTATTTTTGAAGTAAGAAATTTTGGCTTTCACGTGTTTTGGACTTCTCTGTTGGTTTCTAAGCTTTTTAAATGATGATATATTGGTTAACATGGATCCTCCTTTCTTAAACGTTCCTTTCCTTTCTTTTGTGATTAAAATGATGTTAATGACCTTAGAATTACAAGATTATAGGATTTTGTTTCACACAACAGCATTTCTTATACTCCTCTGTATTGTTGTTCCTCACAGTTAGTATTAATATGGATAGACACGAATGACCAAAATCTTTAGTGTTATTCAAATCCAATTTCAAGTTTAGTCTTATGAATGTCAAGTTGCTTCTCTACCTTCCTTCCACTAACCGACGAGCAGTGATTCAGATAGAGTAGCTTTCTCCCACCTCTTGCTGCTCCAATCTCAGTTCACCAAACAATTTCCCTCACTTTTTGGAAAATAATTGCTACAAAATTAATAACATTTTTATAGCTACAGCATTTAATAAACCCTGCTAACCTGTATTAGGCAAGCAAAGTGAGGCTTCTCAAAGAGCTTGACATAATTGGGTTGGTTGAAAGAATCTGGTTGTATTCATAATACACATAAGCCAATATTCTTTTTCTTTGGTAAAGGATCTGCAGTGGCTTTATAAGTATTTACACCACCCTGAGTTTCACATTTAAGTCTATCCATTCTCTGGGAAGAGTTTCTCATAAAAGTGATATGAAATCCATTGTATAAGAAAATAAAAATGGAATTGGGATGTCTCAAGTATTTTATTGTAATGTTATAATTCCCAGTGAAGGAATTTTGGGGACTTATGGAGACTGGCACAAAGATATTTGGATTTTTCCCTAATTTAATCAATACTTTTCTTGAGCATTTTATCTTTTTTCCCTCTAATAGTTTGGTATTATTTAGCACAGCATACTAATAAATGTTAGTAATGTAGTTAAATTGCACAGATACTTTGTTTTTAATGCATAACCCCTTCTTTCCTGTAATTATTGAGATGAAAATTTAACTATGTTATGTTTCAGTAAAGATACATTTAATTCAGCATATGTCATAGAAGCTGTTAATTTAACTTACGGGACTCATAGAGAATTCTCTCACTATTGCAATAATGAAAAATTAACTAAAGGGAAAAAATGAAGACTTTAGAAGAAATGATTATTAGTCATATTACATTATGAGGTTAAAAACAAAACCCTAGGTGGACTGAATGTGATGGACATTCTAACAGGCAATTTTCTGCTGCACAAAATAGCACACCAACCACTAACCTGGCCCCAGCAATTAGACATGGGAAGCATTTAGCCAAGACACCCTGCTGCCGTAGAGTAACCATGAATGGCATCAAGCAGCGATAGTCCTTGTGAAGAAAGGCATGAGTCAAAAAGCAGAAAACAAACAACATTGGGCACAGCATGAGAAGGACCGCAGGTGCCTTGTCCTCATGTTTGGTGATTCATACTTCTATATACTCGGCAATACCAAAAGAACCACTAAGCTCTCAGTTTCCAGTTATCATTCATATCTCAAAGTAAAAGGAATATTGACACACCTATAATAAACCTTGAAAACACTTGCAATTTCAAAAAGAATAGGAATATTTTAGGAATACAACTTTACCATATTTCAGCCAATTCTATTTATAATTAAGCATTTGTATGTTGACCGCTTCCCATCAAAGTTGGAGGTGGAGTTGATGTGGAAGCTCAGCCTCCCATTTAAATGCAGAAAGCCTGATAAAACACAATTATTAAAAATGTTTAGGGAACCCGATCTGAAGTAAAGAAGGAGAAACTTCTGAATGCCAGAAATGAAATGGGAGTTCCAAGTGGGTGTGTTAAGGAGAAGTTAAAGCTTTGGTGGAACAGAGGTACATGAGAACCCATGTGCCAGGAGCTCAGATTTTAACTTTCACTATTTAGTAAGTCTAAGACTTGTAAGTGAATCCTTTGTGTCCATGCAGGAGCCCAGAAAGCCATACTGGCCATGAAGCATGGACTAGAAAAAGGGTAAAATCCTTCTACCATTTCACCCTACACTTTTGGTTGGTGAAAGAGCCAGCCATCAGAAAATGGGTTCTAAACATCTGGAACTTGAAGATGTGGGGATCTACCACTCTTTTAAGTTGAGGACTATTAAGGTGATGAAATAAAATGGAAGCCAGTGAAACTCCTAGGATTCCCATAAGGACAAAAGTCCAATGTACTGTAGGCATGCTTTCCCAGCCCAGGGCTTATCAGACACATATAGAAATCACCAGCAAAGTTACCCTGACTGAAGACAAGCGCAAAATAAAAAATCAATAGCCATAAAATGACTAAAGAACATCATGGAGGAGAGGGATGAGGGAGAGTCAGCCGATACAAGAAATGGGAGATTTAGTGATAAGGAATTATAGGAAAATCTGAAATGAATGTATAGATATATTAAAAATGTTAAAATAGTTAAAAGGAGTTATAGATATTATAAGAAAGATTTGAAAAAGAACCAAGTAGAACTTCTAGAAGTTAAAATAAAGTCCTTAAGACATAAAATTAAATTGTCATGTTGAATGTATTAATAAGCAATTGAAGAAAAATTAGCTACCTGTAAGTTTATATGTGGAAACCATTCAGAATGCAGCATAAAGGGCTAAAAAATATGAAAGGAGATCGATGGAAATTGGGGATGGATTGAGAAGACTAAATATATATTTAACAGAAGCTTCCTAAGAAGAGATGAGACATAATGTGAGAAAGGCAATATTTGAAGAGGTATTCATGGAAGATTTTCTAGAATTGAAGAAAGATATGCATACTCAGAATGAAGGACCAAACCAAATCTCAAAAAAGATGCATAAAAAGAACTCAGTCTCACAACCCTGAGATCATGACCTGAGCTGAAATCAGGAGTCAGACGTTTAACCTACTGAACCACCCAGGTGCCCCACGGAGGAAAGTATTAAACACTACCCAAATGGGAAGACAGACAATCCACCAAGTTAGGACATTTAGACTGACAGCAGTGACAGAAGCCAGAGCCAGTGGGACAGTGTCTTTGAAATGCTGAGAGAAAATAACTATGAACCTAGAATTCTCTGTCCAGTTGAACTCTCATTCAAGAATGAGAATAAAACAAATACATTTTCAGACAATGTCCAAGACAGAAGCATTTGCTTCAGTAAAAAGGAAACTAAATCCAGACGGAAGGAGTGAAGTTCAGGAACCAAGAAGGAAGAAATGATATTAGCCTCCCCTTTAATTGAAAACAGTTTTTAAAACGAAATTGTTTTCTTTCCAAAATCATGAAAATTTTGTTATGCTTTCCTTTGTATATAAAGATACTTTAAGGAAAAATCTGTTATTTGTGTCAATTTGCTGTAAACAAATTTAAATATCCAACAATGCTAGTATGCTCAGGTAAAATGTGCAGTATATACAGAGACTGAAATATTATGTCATCTTGAAGAATATCTGATGTCTTGTGATAGTGCTTCTGTTAAGATGTTAAGGAAAAACAACACATAAAGCATCATATTCACTATTAAATGAGGTGTATAAAAATACATAGGGAAAATATTGTAAGGCAATGTACCAAACATGTTCAAATCATTTTTTGGTGGCATAATGGTATTTTTCCTTTTACCTTATACTTTTCAAAGTCCTACAATGGACATGTATTCTTTAATAATAAAAGAACTTCAAAAAACTTAAAAATATAGATATTTTGTTAAATTAGGAATTTCACTAAATAAACACCATGTTTCTAATTTTGCAGGCTAACCTATCCTCACCATCCTCTACAGTATCCGACAATCAGCTGGTACGTATCCTCTTATTAAGTCATGGACCTACTTTAGAAAATTCTGATCTCTCAAGAGATTTGTCTGACAAAAATTTACTGATTCTTTACTGAAGCTGTGTCGTGGTGGTTTTGCAGCTTACAGACATATATAAAACTGTACATAGACCCTATTTGCTAGGAACTTGACATCTTAGTAGTTGAACTAGAATAATATGGGTGGGGTCAGAAGCAAGATGCTATTGCAATTTAGAGAAGGAGAGTGCTCAATTCCTGATGGGACAGATGCAAAAAGCATTCAAGGGCAGGTCACATTTGATAGTGTAGGGCAGGTTCTGGGTTTTAGGAAATGAGCAATGGAATATTTCAGACAGGAAGGTTAGCATGTGAATGGTCTAGATCAGTAATGAGTAGTAGAAATATAATGTGAACCATAAATACAAGTCCCATAGGTAATTTAAAATTTTCTAGTAGCCACTTTAAAAAGTAAAAAAAACCCCAAAAAACAAAAAAACAAAATAAAAAAGATAAACATAGGCCACATCAATTTCAAAGATATATTTTATGTAATGATATGTAAATACTCTTTCAAACATATAATCAGTAAAAACTTGAGATATTTTACATTCTTTTTTGGGGCCCAAGTCTTTGAACTATGCTGTGTCTTTTCCATTTACAGCACATCTTGATTCACAGTAACCACATTTCATCAGCTCAACAAGGGGCTACTGGCTACTGTGTTAGCAGAGATGTAGACTCTAGAATCTGTTATTTATAGATGAAAATTTGATTACATAGAATTATTTTTCCTTATAGTGTTTTATATTTTCTATTCTTACAGTGGCTGGCAAATTGAAACCATGAAATAAGTTGCCTAGATATTACTAAAGATTTTCTTTATATCTTTTAATATTTATTGTTTATAATTGTAAATTCCTGAACAATAATCACCTTCAGTATAATTAGAAAAATTTGTAGTAAAGCAGTTTGAGATGTTAAGAAGACAAAAAATCACCATTTAGTACTGATTTTTTCCCTTTTTAAGCAATTATTTTGGGGTCCATAGCCAACAAGTCATCTTGTCATTATCATGCCAAAATATTTCCATTTGTAATACTGAAAAACCATGAAAAGCCTAGTTTGAGTCTTGCAATAGACTGGTTTAAGCAAACTGCTTGAGTTTGTTGGTGTTTATACATATGGTGTATATATGAGGTGTGTGTGTGTGCGTAATTTTAATGTTTGTTAGTTTAGAATAGTGACTGGCAATATAGTATAGGTGAAAGAATGCTAGAATAGGGGCCAGAAGAACCATCTTTTATTCCTGCTCTGACACTAGCTGACCGTGGGGAAGTCACAAATCTGAAAGTTTGATCCTCAATTTCCTAAATGAGCAGTGAGAGCATTCGATTACATACTTTCCAAGCCCTTCTAGTGCTGTGAGTCTATGATTACTAACAGAGCGATGTGAAGAAGTTGCCATGGAAATAAGCATTGCAATAACAATAAAGTTAAATGGTTTCCCAGTGTAGATATGGGAATATTACCACAGCTATTTTAATGAAATATTACCACAGCTATTTTAATATTTAAAATAATGGATATACTTGTTTCTTGAGAGCAATGAGTGACATATATATATATATATATATATATATATATATATATATATATGTGTGTCAGTTCTTGGCTTGATATTTTAAGAAACTGTTTTAAAGAGGCAAATATATATAATGATTTCGTAAAAAGACATGTTAAAAACAAGTCATTGTAAATGTAATAAATAAACCTTTTCTTGCCTAATATAAAATTCAGTGAATTCTGAGTTGGTGTTCTTTAGGGAGAAAAAATGCAAAGCATTGCTTTGACTGACTTTAATGATAATTTCTTTGCATTTGCTTTAGACTTTTTCTCTAAAGAATTCAAGGAATATCTTAACCAAGTTTTAAATTAAGTTTTAATCCCCAAATTCCCTTGAGATATAGGTCGGTTTGTGAAGGGATTATTATCAAGCAAGCTTATCGCACAAAAAAAGAACATCTGGATTGATATAATTATTCAATTTAATCACTTTGACTTCTATTTCATGGCATTAACCCTGTATTTTGTTACTGGGGAATGGAATAGAATAGAAATAATTGTAGGCAAGGATGGATTTGCTTCTTTAAGGATTTATGATATTTTTGCTCTTAAGTAATATATGAATAAAATTATAACTTTTCATTTCTATGAAAGAATTTCCAGTATTTGTCATCTGAAACTCTCTTCAGAATTAAGTTCTGAATAACTTGAGTGAGAATGCCTTTGAGAAATGAAACTATGTTTGTATATGTATGTGCACGTTTGTAACATAAACACATATAGATGCCATATAACAGGTAATTCTGTTATTATATGTTGCTTGAGATAATTAAAAGAGAATAAGAAAAGGTTGATGAAGGAGTTGGGAAATTTGGCCTCTATGGAAGTATGACCTTCATTGGGCACCTCCCGTGTGGGCCCTGTGCTAGCATTTTCCCATAGCCTGCGAAGTTGTAATCACTTATGAAAGAGGAGGAGACTGGGTAAGGTGATTTCAGGGTGGAGATTTCACACCTGTGAATAGCACTACTCTTAGCATAACAAGGGGAGCAAAAGGAAAGGAGGGATCTAGGATATAGGTTGCACCTTCACAAAGCTTTCCTAATTCCTCAGCTGAATCATCCCAATGTTAACAGAGGCTGGTGGGGCCTCTTCTCTTGATGAGAAAATACGTTCAACAAGATGGGTAACCACTGGTCTTCCTTGGGGTAGGTGGGGGAGCCTTGTTTAGAAGACATTTGGCTTTTGCATTTGATATTGAATGCCATTACGAAATGCATTATTTTGGGAGATGGAATACTGAATCTGGAGAGGACAAAACAATAGATTAAAAAAAATAAGCCACATGGCTATATACAGGTAAAAGCGAAATGCAGCTTACTGGAACACTGTAAAGAAGAGTGGGTAAGCTTTCAGATACTTTGTTCTCAGTTCTGAATGCCAGCTGATGTGTCCTGCTTTGGTGGGGCATGAGTCATTTTTCTGAGGGCCTTGAGGTCACTGTTGTTCAGAAAATGGAGCCCTGAAAGCTTTTGTGGAGAACTGATGTCTTCTTCAGGCTTAAAGGTGGTTTGTCCTTGACCAGTTTTCCTTGACACAACATTCTTAAGTGCTACGGCACTCATCATATATGCCTCCTAAGGTTTGGGTCATGCTATTGTCTTTTTTTCAACCATTGAAATATTTCAATCCAGTCAATCTGTGTTGTACACATTCCACCAAATGTTTCTTGAGCATTGGGATGTGGTTTATAATAATTGAAATCCTACATATGTTTATTTTTACACAACCATCATAGTAACTATAATTTTTTTTTAAAAGCATATCAAGTAGGTACTTTCCTGGACAGTATAGATCATTTAGTATCGATACTTTATATTATAAATGCAAAAGTGGGAAAAAGGAAAGTTTTTTCCCTTTCACATTCATTTTACGTTGTTTTTCCTTTACAAAGTTCTGTCATGCATATTATAGCAGTCCCATAGCTAATGGGTGGTATAAAAATCTGTTTTTCCCCTCAGTCTTGGCAATTTTGCTCTGCACTGGAGTGTTTTGAAATCTGAGATATTTCTTTGAGGGGGAAAAATGCTTACATATTTGCTTCAAGCATATAATATTGTTTGTTGAAAAAGAATGGAAGCTAATAAAGGTTTATTAATTGAAGGAGTGAGTCAGCTAAATAATTTAGAGCATACTGCTTTTGTCAACAATCTTGACTGGTAGATTGTTTTTGAGTTTCTAGGAGCTTGTTGCCACAGAAATTCTAAAATATATATGTATATACATAAAACACTGGGGACTAAAGACAAAACTGAAGCAAATGGGTAAAAGAAACACAGTGGTACTTTCACAAGCTCTTTGGATCCATCAAATTAGTAGAATTCCTAGCCAAGCTCACAGAGTTTTCTATATCCTGTGTTTGATTACTTTCTTCCTTTTTTATTATACATCTTATTTCTTCAAAAAGATAAAAATAAATCCATGAACACCGAGACCCTGTTCTTTATTTCTTTTCTTCTCTCATCACACCACTGCAGAGCTTATGACTGTCATCAAAAGCAATTTAAAACAGTCCACTAGTTGCAGTTACTAATTTGAGAACGAGGTTGCTCTCAGAAGCCATTATTTTAAGATATTAATAAGGGATTCTCTAGGTCAGTGCTGGCAGTTAATTTTCAACTTTGGTCTCCAGCCAGAGGCAGTACCAACTTGTTGTCATAGAATTATGATTGTAAGTTCCAAAGGACAGAAGCAATGTTTATTTTTACGTGCCCCTGAGTAGCAGTGTTCAAGCATAAGTGTATACTTGTTGAGTTATAAACACAAATTAATAGCAGCCTCAGACCAGTGTCCCGTGTGAGCCATTAAAACCTGCCACCAGCCTCCAGGGACTCCATATACTCTTGGACTTTTTCTTCTTCAAGATTAGCAGTAGGTTTAATTGTGATCTCCATAGTTCCACCCCACTCTCAAATTCTCCAAAAAAAGATTACGTCACTGTCTTTTGGTATTAAAAATTTTATTGCTTATCACCATAAGCAAACAAAGGGAATGACATTTTTTTTTAATGGAGACATTTAAAATCTTCTAAGTCCCTAGAGAACTGATCCCTGGCTTTGAATCCTTACATCCGTCAGAGATGGGAACTTCAGCCTCTACTCTTACCTCTGAGGATGGAACTCACCAACCCACTTTCCTTCTTCTGTTCCTCTCTTGGTAAAAAAACATATGGATCTTCTATCCTGAAGAGTTCTCTCTTCCTGGGTTATACTCAAATAAAAAAGTTAATCGAGAAAAAATAATGGGAGACCCTAAGCTGGCAAGTAATACTCCTTGAGGCCTCCATATTGGATAATAGCCAGCATCCTGGGCTGCTTCTGCCTGTCAATTAATTTATCCATTCTTCAATTATTTATTCAGCACCTTCTAAGTTCCAGGCA